TTTTCTACGATATTTTTGATACATATTTATATCTTTATTCGTCCTTAATGACCTGTTTTTCTACGCTATTTTTGATACATATTTATATCTTTATTCGTCCTTAATGACCTGTTTTTCTACGATATTTTTGATACATATTTATATCTTTATTCGTCCTTAATGACCTGTTTTTCTACAATATTTTTGATACATATTTATATCTTTATTCGTCCTTAATGACCTGTTTTTTACGATATTTTTGATATATATTTGTATCTTTATTCTTCCTTAATAACCTGTTTTTCTACGATATTTTTAATATATATTTATATCTTTATTCGTCCTTAATGACCTGTTTTTCTACGATATTTTTGTACTATATTTATATCTTTATTCGTCCTTAATGACCTGTTTTTCTACGATATTTTTTATATATTTTTATATCTTTATTCGTCCTTAATGACCTGTAAAGTAGAAGTAATTATACAAGTCTCTACACCACTACATTTATGTTATTAAACCTCCCAAACGGTTCACGGTGGTGCCCAAGAGAAGCATCCAATTACGTTCAATTTCTAGGATGACTGTCAGAGATGACATATCGGTAAAACACATTTCGTTTGACTTCCAAAGCGTTCTCATCTCCAGTTTTCATATCCCAACATCACATCAATGTCGATGTCCGGTTGCAGTCTGGGAAAAAAGCATGAATCATTACATCATAACTTATGAAATATTTGACGTGCGAGATTCACCAACTAACTTGAGAATTTATAGCTGGGTGTTGTAGTTGTATTGATCTCCACTTCATAAATTACAGCTTGGTGTTGTAGTTGTATTGATCTCCACTTCATAAGTTACAGTTTAATGTTATAGTGGTATCGATCGTTACTTCATAAGTTACAGTTTAATGTTGTAGTGGTATTGATCTCCACTTCATAAGTTACAGTTTAGTGTTGTAGTGGTATCGATCTCCACTCCATAAGTTACAGCTTGGTGTTGTAGTGGTATCGATCTCCACTTCATAAGTTACAGCTTGGTGTTGTAGTGGTATCGATCTCCACTTCATAAGTTACAGCTTGGTGTTGTAGTGGTATCGATCTCTACTTCATAAGTTACAATTTAGTGTTGTAGTGGTATCGATCTCCACTTCATAAGTTACAGTTTAGTGTTGTAGTGGTATCGATCTCTACTTCATAAGTTACAATTTAGTGTTGTAGTGGTATCGATCTCCACTTCATAAGTTACAGTTTAGTGTTGTAGTGGTATCGATCTCCACTTCATAAGTTACAATTTAGTGTTGTAGTGGTATCGATCTCCACTTCATAAGTTACAATTTAGTGTTGTAGTGGTATCGATCTCCACTTCATAAGTTACAGTTTAGTGTTGTAGTTGTATTGATCTCCACTTCATAAGTTACATTTAGTGTTGTAGTTGTATTGATCTCCACTTCATAAGTTACAGTTTAGTGTTGTAGTGGTATCGATCTCCACTTCATAAGTTACAGTTTAATGTTGTACTTGTGTTGATCAATATCTTCTATTATAAATGATAAAAGTAATTTGTCGAAATGGATTTAAGTAAAAAAAAAATAACAAATTCTTAAAACCGATGTAAAGAGAGGTTGAAAATTTTGGAAACATACTTGAGTAAAAATAGCATTCTTAAAATTGACGTAAAATACAGTAACTGATCATCGATATCATGTCTGGCACGTGGTAACCAGGTCGCACTTTTCCTCAGTAGCGAAAACATTTAGTTTTACGATTGGTAAGAAACATAATAAAATACATGACGTCTCTTCGATAATTCCGTCTTTGATAATTTGATGATACATGTTCCAGACGTTGTATGATTGATTTTTCTACTTGGAGTCTGTCTGTTTGTTTGTTTGTTCTCTCTCTATTTCTAATACTGTAAAACATAGCAATACAACCATCGTTATGTAGTAATCTACTTTCTCGAACTTTAAAGTCGGTTAAAGTCGCGGATAAGAAATAAATATTCATAAATTTCAATGATATGTCAGAGCTATAGTAACGGGAGGGTACGGTATGTGACATGAGTTATAGAGAGATATGTTTTGTTAGGAACAACTATGCCAGTTTTTATTAAGTTGACATAGCACTGAAAACATTCACTGTATTTTGGATATTAGACAGACACTCACTTTATATGATTTACAAAACTGGCTTTAAATGGGTCAAAAATAAACAAATTAGAAAAATAATTCGTAAAACACCTATTTAATAATTCAAAAGTACAAGCAAAATTATATATTATCGGTAAAATATGTGTTTTAAAGCCTTATTGTATTAACATATTAAAAAAAAGATGTTTGTTTGTTTTTAATTATGCACAAAGCTACACAAGGGCTATCTGTATTCCACGGGTATCGAAACCCGGTTTCTAGCGTTGTAAGTCCGCAAAACATACCGCTGTGCCACTGGGGGGCTAAAAAGAAAGAAACACGGGTTTGTACGACTCGTTTCTGTTCGTGTATTATCACATGTTACAAAACGTTGCTCTTTGCTTACTACGGTTATGGTAGGACTTGTTGCAGGTTTCTTTCTGGATGATCCTTGCGTCCTAAGCTGATCCATATTCCTTTGTTTTCCAACGATATTGAATACAGAGGATGTTTTAGTCTGTAAAATCCTCGATCCAAACAAAACTTTCATATCTGACTGTATAAATATTTTGTATCAGAAAGGTTTATTACTTTCTTCCGAAAAGCGAAGTCGACTTTCAGTAGCATCACACGAACGTCAAACAGTCTTAAAACTTAGTTCTGATACACGTCATTCCACCGCAACTTTTTATTGGCTGTCGTTATCACGTGACTTGCTGACTCGAATATTCAAAATTGTTTTGATTTAACGTATTCAGTCCTCTTTCTATATATACATATTAATCTGTGCATCTATTTGTCTAATATGAATTGTTTTGTTTTCAGATTACGGGAACTTTCCGTTCACCTGAACCATGGCGATGTACCGGTTACAGTCCTTCAGGATACGATGAAATATGCTGCTAGTGTCCTCGAAAGCGTATCAATGGAAGAAGCAAGGTTAGTGAACTGGGATTCCCAAGATTGCCTCGTAACAATCAACAATAATGAGCAGGTTTTTAACAACGTATAACAATTGGTTGCGTCAAATCAGTATCTTTGTTGCAACAGTACTTCCTAGAATAATATAGTTGCGTCAAATCAGTATCTTTGTTGCAACAGACACCGAAATCTATAAGTCCACTTATATAAGGCCTAACATTAGTTAAGCCTATATTCGATAAAAATATAACATTTTTTGCTTTAATTTAGTCTAAACTTTACCGTACTTAATTTAATTAATTGTTTCTCTCTCTTTTGTATCCTGTTAAACACTGTGTTGTTATTTTTTCTGGGTTAATTAATTGTTTCTCTTTTGTTTCCTGTTAAACAATGTGTTGTTATTTTTTTCTGGGTTAATTGCTTTGTTCATATTTCACATAGTTCTCATTTTTCATCATTCGACACGAATAATTAATAATAATTAATAATAAGGACTCCTGAATAAAAATAAAGTACATGCTAACCACATTACATCTTTTATATCCAGTGCAAACTAATACCAGGACTCTCTAGGCCGGCTGGGATAGAACAGGAATCATAGTGGTTGATACGCGATTTTGTTTGTTTATTTCTTCGTTTTTTTTTTAGAGCAAAGCCACAATAGACTATCTGCTATGTCCATCGCGGGGAATCGAAACCCGGATTTTAATTGTAAACTTACTGCTGTCCCACCGAGGGACGAGACGCTATTTATGTTAGCAAATTGCTTGAAAACAGTCGTTACGGTGTGAACTAGTTTAAATTGATGAAGTATAATTGGTCATCAATTTTGTTTATGTCACACCGCGATTAGGGTAAGGATTATTTATCTATTATAATAATAATACTGAGTTTTCGTCTGTCCTGAAAGTGCGCGCGCACTTTACAATTTAAATGCGCAAGCACTTCATTTCAACGGACATAGATATACTTTAGTAGACATTTTGTACAAAAACACATTAAAGGCTTATTAAGGTCTTTAAAGGGGTCTAAACGTTAGGTCCTAGAATAACATTATAAGTTTATTCATTGATATTTTCGAATCAATTCCACAAGCTGAGTGCATCCGGGTACTCGAATCATCTGTATTCAAGAGACAAAACAAACATCTGGGAACTAAAAACATCTCTATCCACTGAACACAAATTATATACAGATACCAAAATCACAGTTGAGTAAAAACATTTTACTTAGGTAAAATAGTTTAATATTTCTCTCTCTCTCTCTTATCTGTTTCCTTTTAAACATGTGTTGTTGTTGTTTTCTGGGTTAATTAATTGTTTCTCTCTCTTCTGTTTCCTGTTAAACAATGTGTTGTTATTTTTTTCTGGGTTAATTAATTGTTTCTCTCTCTTCTGTTTCCTGTTAAACACTGTGTTGTTGTTGTTTTCTGGGTTAATTAATTGTTTCTCTCTCTTCTGTTTCCTGTTAAACACTGTGTTGTTATTTTTTTCTGGGTTAATTAATTGTTTCTCTTTTGTATCCTGTTAAACACTGTGTTGTTATTTTTTTCTGGGTTAATTAATTGTTTCTCTTTTGTTTCCTGTTAAACAATGTGTTGTTATTTTTTCTGGGTTTCAAAGCGACTGATCCTCTGGTGTTCAAATAAATTAGCTTACCACAGTTTAATTCCTAACTAGAGGGTTGGCCAAAAGATTCTATACAGTTGGTATTACACGAAGACATCTGAAACCAATTTGATTATTGTTCGTTCCAGAGTAATTGATAGAATTATATAGCTGACGTTTGTTTGTTTGTAGTGCTCCTACCCTGTATAGCTGACGTTCGTTTGTTTGTAGTGCTCCTACCCTGTATAGCTGACGTTCGTTTGTTTGTAGTGCTCCTACCCTGTAAAGCT